TGTGTGTGTATGTGTGTGTGTTTGTGTGTGTATGTGTGAGTGTGTGTGTGTGTGTGTGTGTGTACCAGGAGTCAATCTCAAATGTCTTCTATCACTCTCCACCTTACTTTTTGAGAGTTTCTTTCACTGAACATGGGGCTCCCTGATTGGCTAGTATGGGTCAATCAAAATTGGAACAATACACTTTGCAAGTAAATGGGAGACAAAACAGGAAAAATATACCTGGCAGGCTACGGGATCAGTTCGCAATTAAGACAGTTAAGAAGTTCCTCTTTCTCGTGTACTTGCAAGTCCTTGCAAGTTAAGGTTTCTGTAATTGTAATTGAGAATAAGTTCTTGTTTCCTAGGTCTGATGTAAACTGCTCTCACCCCCTTTTACATGATGTACACCCTTACCCTTGTTCCCTCTCTTTCCTTGAATCTTTCTAACAATGTATAACAGCCAACTCTCTCACCTCTGTGAATGCCTTATCACTCCTACATAAAAGGGACTTTAAGAGGCCAGCAGGGGCTGCTCTCCCAAATCCTGACTTAGAGTGAGACAGCCAGTGGGCCAGTCCTGAGTGCACACCCAAACACAGCTTGCTTTAAGTGGACAGTTGTGGATTTGGTCTTTCCCCTTGTGATTCTCAGGTTTAACACTAGGCTGATCAGCCAAGGGTAGTCTCACCTCCCCCATAGTCCCCAGCACTAAGACTGAAGGAGTACTATAGCTTTTCTCAGTTGTATGTAATAACCCTGTCTCCCTGTTCAGCTGTATGTGATAATCCTGCCTCCTTGTTCAGCTGTGTGTAATAATCCTGCCTCCATGTTCAGATGCATGTTGTAACCCTGCCTCCTTGTTCAGCTGGATGTAGTAACCCTACCTCCTGTTCAGCTGTATGTAGTAACCCTACATCCTGTTTAGCTGTATGTAATAATCCTGCCTCTCTGTTCAGCTGTGTGTAGTAACCCTGCCTCCCTGTTGAGCTGTATGCAATAAACACACTGAGTTTCTGAGATTCTGTGGCTTCTGCATCAGAGGGCGCAGGCCACCGGACCCCAGCTTTTTGGCGTGTCCTTGTGTTAGTCTTTTCTTCAATGCCTCCTGTACCCCACTCCAGTCAGACCAATCCCTGGAGCTATGTAAGATGTAGAAGCTAGTTCATGCCATTGTCATGCAAACTGTCAAGTGAAAACTTCCCAGCCAGCCAAGCTGACAGCACTCTTTGTGGATCCCCTTACAAGTTTTTGACAAGAGAGCAGTATTTTTTAGAATAGTTTTACTAGCCTTAGTCCATGATATGAATAAAGGTTCATATTTTAATAGCTAACATAACTCTTAGGCATCTTTCCTATTTGAGCCATACAATTTATTCAAGGTTATAAAAGGAAGTAATTTTTAGACTCATAACCTGAACAGAAAGCTGCCAAATGGCATTTTAGTTTAGTTTCTGCCGTACTTCTACAATTTTAAATAGTGATTAGCAGCTCCCCATTAGAGGAAAGCCTGTACTTTTCTCACGCTTTGCAGAACTTGCAGTAAATATGCATTTATGATGTGGCCTTAAATTGCCTTCATTATGTCAATGTGACGAGATAATCCCATAAAACATTCCAAAATTGCATGAATTTAGAGATGTTCCAGGATTATGTAAGTCGCGACGGAAGTATCTTAGTGGGGTGCCCAAAGATCATTGTTTTTCTATAGACTGGTTCTTTGCCTAATTTAGTGTAAATGCCTTAGATTGTTCAAATTAAAGCAAACCTTTTTAAATCACTGCAGTGCACGCCAGTGGCCTCCATGCACTGTGACCGGAATTTACGAGTGTGGTTTCATCAGACAAAAAAAATTCTGTAACAAGTCCCCCGATTTGGAAGTCTCTGCTACCAAAGATGGCGGCTCGTGAAGCCGACCAGGTTCCACCTCGTCAGTGTCTGCCTCACCCACTCCTCTCCTTGGCGCTCGTCTCCTCTGCTCATTGAACCGACAGTCAAATCTCAGGGCTCTTATTTCACAAGTAACTGCTTCCTCTAGTCCAGTGGTCCTCAAACTTGAGCATCCAGAAGGTCTCCTTAAAGTGCATCTACTCCTGAGGTTCCTGATTCAGACGTCTGGAATGGGACCCAAGGACTTGCATTCTAGTTACTTCCCTAGTGATGCTAAAGCTATTGTTGGTCCAGGGCAGATCAACACTCTGAGCGCCATTATTTTCACCACCCTCAGGAAATTTGTAAGCTTTAAGCCACTGCCAGACTGAGATAATTGCCAAGTTCATCGTCCTGTGACATTCCATTTTTTTTTCAAAAGTCTGCTGTTGCAAGTAATACAGCAACATCCCTGGATGTGGTACGCGACTTTGAGTCCTGTGAGGGTAGGCAGAGACCATCATGTAAAGCAAAATTAGCCAGACTCAAGAACACAAATATTGTATATTTTTCTCATTTGTGGATCATAGATTGAATTATAGATACATAAAATCACACACACACACACACACACACACACACACACCCCATAGAGGAGCGGTTGATGACGGAGACTAACAATTTAAGGAAGGTAGGGGGAGAGGAGGGAGAAGGTATGGTGGCTGAAAATGGTCAGAATACATGATATACTTGAAATTATCTTATGAAACTTTGTAAAATATATGCCAATATTAAAAAAAATCCAGTGTCTGACCAAGTGTCCTTATTTCTGCTCCACGTATTCATATTACCTGCCTGCCTGTTCCATCTTTAGTATTTTCTGATTTGTTATCACAGGAAGAAAGTGCAGTCAGATACAAAGCAACACTGTGTGTTTTTTTTCTGGAGTATTTTGTTAAATATCAGTCTAACTGCCGTCTTCACGCATGACTTCTGGCTCCTCAAGAGTCGTAACGAAATCATAATGGACAATATGATTTCAGTCACAGAGCCCTCCATCTGGATTGCTGCCATCAAAACTACAGGCTTGGCATTGTGTTAATTTATGCATATGAATAAAGAGGACTTAAAGCTTTGGATCTGTGTTCTAGATGATGCGGAATGTTAAAGTTTATTTTGCCCCGGCTACTTTTCTCATGAGGAAGAAGCCAACAATCTTAGCTCATTCAAAGATTGCTCAAGTTGAAAAACAAACAAACAAGCAAACAAACGCTTTGGTTGTTCGGTAGGTAGCCACCTTTGATGATGGTAACAGCTTTCAGTTACTGGTTTTGAAGTCATTTCAGGATAAACAAGCCCTACTTTAATAATCTGGAAAAAAAGGAAATTATTAGTATATCTGCCTAGTATTATGAGGATATACACAGAGAAACAGACCTTTATACACACGGTTGTATATGTGTATGTGTGTATATGTGTGTGTGTGTGTGTATGTGTGTGTGTGTGTGTATATGGTGGTGGTGGGGAGTGTTTCAGTCTTTAAGCACTCTTCCCTAAGGGTTTTTGCAAGCAGTTATTGCTTATAAATGGTCAATTTCAGTTGATAGTGAAGAAATAATTAGATTGAGGGAAAGTCATACAGGAATAATTACACAACTTAAAGGAAAATAAAATATTTATTAAAAAATAATGATTTTTCTGGTGGGGGGGATCTTTTTTAACAGTTTGCATGACGACTATTTCTGACCCAGAAACTCCAATCTAGTGATTTTCTCATGTGATGATACCCTCAGGTTTATCCATCATTTAAACTCCACAAATTCTTTAGGGGACAGTCTAAAAATTCATCCTGATTCTTGATCTTTGGAATTAAAGGAATAATTTTGTGCATTTCTAGTGCTCTATTTTTTAAGAACCAGAAAATGAGAATCCAATGTGATTTTGAAAGAATGCTGTATGTTGCGTGCTTTCTCAGGGGACCAGGCCACAGTCATCTTTGCTTCTGGCATCAATCTCATCCCTTTTCAATTTTACATTTAACTCCAGGGTCTCGTTCTCACACCCATAATCCCTGATAGAAAGCTTTGCCTTGGGATCAAAGGACTTCCTGGTAATTACATGATATAACCAGAAGCTACAGCAGGCAAACAGATACATAGTTCAATTTAGGAAAAAAGACTCACAGAACATGGGCCATAGCATTGACAATAAGCCACTATGCTTGCTCAGTTACTGAATCACACACTGCATTTTAAAACAGAGACATGATGGGATAACTTGACCAATTATGCATGCATCTTCTTAGGTGGTACATGAGTGAAGCCTAGCATTACTAACATTGTCAACTTGTCAACGGTTTCTCTATTTGTAGCAGTGGCAATCCAATTAAAATGGCCATCAGAGCAGATCCAAACTGCATTAAATGACTCCAATTAATGTCATATTTAATTTGGAAGTACAGCGGAAGATGTTCTGTACTGCCCCCTGCAAATCTTCATTCAGCTTGTGGATTTTATACATTATGTTTGCATTTTAAAAGAAAGGCTAGGATTAATCTGCTTATATTCCAAAACATGTCCTCCAGTTTCTTTATATCTTCAATAGTCAACTTTCATTTTAAACCAGCTTCTGCAGCCATTTTTCATGGAAGTGTGAAGAGAAGGGATTCATATTTTGTGATGAACATTCAAAGCAAATTATAAACTTTTAGGAATTTCAGGTAAATATGCCTTCAAAGAGACAAAAATACGGAGTTAGTTTTCAGTCATTGTTTGGTTTAACCAGTGTTGCTGAAAGTATTTTATTACATAATGTAGAGTCATGGAGTAGAAAGATGTAGTGATAATATTTTTAAAATCTATTTAAAGTGGGTATCAATGTATGGAGAACAACTACTTCAGTGTTCCCCCAGTCATTGATTCAGATTGTGATTAGATTTATTTATGCTATTCATCCCTGTTCTGACCTCCAAACATTAACAATTCAGACAAGCATGTATACCATCTTAAGAAATACTTTACATACAAAATAAAAGTAAGTAGGTGAAAATCTATTTATTGGGGCAGGAGAGATGAGTGGTTAAGAGCTCTGGGTCCTTTTGTAGAGTGGATGTTCCCAGAACTCATATGGCAGCTCAAAATTATCTATAACTCCAGTTCCAAAAGTTCTGACATCCTCTTCCAGCCTCTGTGAACATTGCACACATATGGTGCCTCTCTGAGCTAGCAGATTTTCACTCCAGCATCTGGATCCCGAGTCTTTATTGTTAAAATCAAGTGACTGAGATTTTGTTTAAAAAAAAAAAAAGCCACAGTTTGTTATTAGCCCACAATTTGGGTGGATATTGCCAGGGAAGTGTTAAGAAGTAGTTAGGTTTATACATGTATATGCTTTAATTTTGTGCCTAACACATGTTGAACATGAAAGTACATAGTTTAAGTGTCACAGAAGGGGTAACTAAAACAGAAATTCTTTATTTTTTTTTATATTTACTTGGGGTGTGTGTGTGTGTGTGTGTGTGTGTGTGTGTGTGTGTGTGTGTGTGTACTCATAAGCATGTTAGAGGACAAAGTGTGGTAGCTGGCTCTCTCCTTTCTCATGTTGACTTCTGGGATCAAACTGAGCTCATCATACATGAAAGCAAGAGCCTTCACCTGCTGAGCTCTCTCTTGAGACCCCAAATTCTTATTATTCCTTTAAAGGTTATATCCAATGTGGGGATAAATAAAAACAGGGAAAGAGAAAACTTTCTGCTTACCTGAGTGAAAGAACCAGTCTGGCAGAGCTGTCTCCCGATGAGTTTGGCAGCAGAGTGCTGGCTTCAGACAGCAGAGACACGGAATCTCCAAAGACATGAATGCATTGGAGGAGTTGCCCTGAAATTGTCATTGGTGATGATATGCGTTGTGAATCTGAGGTGCATCCTGGCAGGTTGAAGCAAGAAGAAGCTTTGCAAGGCCAAAAGAAGTCTTTGCAAGTTGTTACTGACGTCACAGAAGCTATAGAGATGTTTTGCTGGAAATGCCCCTCATTGCTATGTCAAGGTAAAATAACAAATAAATAAACTTGCACCAAAGGGGAGCTTCGTTAGGAGAGTGGGGCTTGAGCAGTCCTCAGTGTGACGTCTCCTGTTTGTGACCACGTGCAGGCCACATAGGTGGTGTCAGATGTGCAAAAACATCCGGTGGGTTTTACGAGGTCCTTAATGATAGTTCCTATCCCAGAGTTATGGGCATTAGACTCCTTTTTCTACGCTTCTTCCTCACCTCCAGCTCTACTCCAGATCTGATAGAACTCCAATTCGATATTAACTAGCTGTATGACAGCAGCAGGCTTGGACTGGCAAAGTTGATGCCACAAATAACACTCTTCATAATTTGTATCAACTTATGAAAGCTAGTTCAGGGGGTCAAAAGAAATTTTATGTGTGTAGATGGTTTGCCTGCATGTATGTGCCTGGTACCTACAGAGGGCAGAAGAAGGTGTCCCTGGAACTGGAGTTACAAACAGTTGGGAGCCAGCATATGGGTGCTGGGAATAGAAACCAGGTCTTCTGGGAGAGCAGCCGGTGTTCTTAACCACTGCACTGTCTCTCCAGCCCCAGACTCTATTAACTGCACAATTTTAAAGAGCAAAGATGAAGTTGAACAAGCATTTCTATCTGTTATCCAAATGGCAAGGAGGTTAGGCAGGACAAAAGGGAACAAAAGGGCCCTTGGCAGCAATCTTCTCAGGTACCATTTGAGATGTCGGTATGTCAGCTTCTCCTGAGACAAGAAACATGATCCATGTCATTAATACCCTGGAGACAAGGAATTAAAACTACTCCGAGAGATGACATTTTAAGCACCACAGTAGAAAATTCTCCTAGTTGGTTGTAACTCATTTTCAAGCACTAGCCTTCTATGGATAGATTAAAAACAATCCAGCCCCTCCCTTTCAACAAGTGATAAAGATGCACAGGCTGCCTGTGACTAATGTGGAGGTGAAAGATGAACCAGGGGATGGGCTATGGACTCAAGATCCAAGGGTAAAGCCAGGCTTATGTCAAAGATTCCCTGAGTACGATTTCTGTGGCTATGAATAGCTGGGATGTTGCCGGTCTGGAATCAAATTTTCTTTGGCTGTCCTTAGCTCCCTTAACAGTTTTCCTCGGCCTCCTCTGTGACCATTAGGCCAATCGGTTTGGAATAATAGAGTTCCAGCTTCCACTGGTGCAAAGTTGAATACAGTCAGATAGCAGGGCAATAGCAGGAAAGTTGGGCTTTGAGAATCCTTGATATAAAAGCTTTGCTATAACCTGATTATCTGATGCCCCATCCTTGTATTTTTAAGACACTTTGATTCGTGTCTTTCTGTGTTTTGTTACTATAAAGACTTCATGAAACTGTAACATACTGAAACATGATATTCAAGGCAATCAAGTCTTTGTTCTCAGGCTGTAGTCACTCATATTTGGCTCCAGAATTAAACTGTCTCTTATTAAGGTGAGAGCTGTTTTTTCATCAGTGGGTTTAACTGGCCAAACCCTGATGGGTAAACTGATGTCAGTAAATACAACTAGTTATTCCTCCTTAACCCAATGCTAACAACACTAAAAGGTAAGCTGGCCACAAGTACCGACAGTTATTCCTTCTTGGCTAGAATGCTAACAGCTAAGCTGAAGAAATGGATACAGTGAGTTACTATTCCATCCTGTCTCACACACATCTGAGATCTGGGCCACACAGCGTTTCCCAAGGCTGACCACAAGTTGAAGCAAGCGATATTGAAGTTAAATATTTTCTCCTTAGTTGGCCCCAAAGAGTAGAGTGCTGCTTTTCCATTGTGTTCCTCTGAAGGAGGGCAGTTTTGCACCCTGTCAACAGAAAGTACAAGCAACAAAGGTCCTGCGCATCTGCATTCTTTTCCCTGAGTGATGCCTCTGTCCTTTACTTTATTTTATTAAAAATGTAACTTTCAGTCTCGTCCCCACTCCCTCCCTCTAACATTGGAGGCAGCATCCATAATCTTAAACTTGCTTCATTTGACATCCAAGGATCTCTCTCTCTCCCTCTCTCTCTCTGTCTCTGTCTCTCTCCCCCTCCTTCCATCTTCCTTCTCTAAGGCCCACATCTATGCAGATACCTACAGACTTCCACTGATAATCCTCCTGGACTTACCGACTTCTTCTAAGCACAACTTTCTCTTTCTTCCTCTTCGCATCTCTCTCCTCCTGATGACTGACATATCCAGGTTTGCCTGCACTGCTTTCTCAGACTATGATAACATCATCCTAGATTTCCTTTTTGTGTCTGTTTTTCCATTCTTTTATCTATGACACCAAGAACCTGCAAAGGGGACTCTATGCCCCCAGTGACACAACCACCAAATCAAAACATAAAACATACCTTCGCTTCCTACATTTTCCTTCATGCTCATGCTAGTCAAAAGCCTCAGCGTGAAACAAAGCCACCCTGTAGGCATCTCTCATCATCTATAGTCTTCCCTGCTCCTCTGTCTGCCTTTACCAGACTCAACACTTGTTTCCAGAAACAAACTTCCGTTGATTCTTAGTTCGCATATGACAGACCAGGGTGTACTGTCTTCTTGTGAGTGACAAAACAGCTTCTAAGCCAGACCCATAGCTGATGCCTAGAGATGAAAAGAGAGGTACCCGGAGATGGCCTGAATCTTTGTTGGTGGATATAATAAGGCTTTGTGGAACAATGTGGCTTCAGTCTCTCTGTGGAGGTGACTTCTAGACCCCTAATGGACAGTCTGGGGAAGCTTAATGTTCCTTTCACTGTACAGAACCTCTGGTCACCAGTGACCGAGATAGAGGCAGTACAGAAAAAAGGGAGTAATTTTATTGAGAATACTACTTAGTGTGCAATGCAATCCAGTAATAATAATAGGCAGTTTGGTGGTTTGAAAGAAAATGGCCCCCATCGGCCCACAGGATGTGGCCTTGTTGGAGGAAGTATGTCACTGTGGGATCAAGCTTTGAAGTTCATATGCTCAAGCTACTCCCAAGTTGGGTCACAGTCTCCTTCTGCTGCCTCTGGATCAAGATATAGAACTCTCAATTCCAGCACCATGTCTACCTGTATTCTGCCATGCTTTTTACCAAGATGATAATGGACTCAACCTCTGAAACTGTGAGTCAGTCCCAATTAAATGTTTTCCTTTATAATAATTGCTGTGACCATGGTGTGTCTTCACAGTAATAAAATCCTAAGATAGAAGTTGGTACCAGGGACTGGGGTATTACTGTGATAAGCCTGACTATGCTTTTGTTTGAATAATGTAGACTTGGGGACTTTAGATTAGAGAAGCGGTTGAACACTTGAAGTGGGGCCATCCTAGCAGGAAAACGGAAGACAGTAGTGCTGAGGGTGAAACGGAAGACAGTAGTGCTGAGGGTGAAACTGTGGGGGCCTGGCTCAAAAGGTTTCAGAAGGGAAGAATATTAGTATGTGGCTTACAGACTTGTGATATTTCATTTTGGTAAAGAATGTGGTTGCTTTTTGCTCTTGTCCAAAAACAT